CAAAAACATAACACCCAAGTGAAAAGCAAGGGTGGCAAAGAAAAGAAAAAACCTAGAGTAACAAATTCTCACGTTTCCCCAATAACCTAGAGGGTCCCCGGCAACGGCGCCAAAAACTTGACACGCCAAAACACAACACCAAACTGCGACCAAGTGTAATCGCAGTCCGGGAATGCAGTAACAGGCAAGTTCTATTATCAACCCGGGGTCTAGATCTACTGCTTACTCCGTGATTATCTATTATCTAGCAAACTAATTCGAGTGATTGTTGTTTAAAGCAAAAGCATTAAGAAAGCAGGAAATGGTTCGGTTTTCAAAAGCAGGAAAGAGTCACTCGGGAATGAGTCCCCCTAGCCCCTTGATTAGGTTCAATTGTAATTCCCCTGGGTTGATTCACTGTTGATTAGACTGCGGAAGATCCGACAGTAGCTTGGAATCTCTTAAGCTGACCAAGCCCTCTCAGTCTAACTATCCGGCAGACGACTAGTCTTCACCAGGATAGAAAGCTGAAGCAATAAGCACAGAACTCCACTACTGGAATTGAATTCCAGTACAAAGCAGTAAACTGGCTAACTCTCGTATAACCAATCTCCTACTATCGAATGAAGAGGCTCTAACAACTTAATCAGATTCTATCTATCTCAGGTTGCAGCAGAAATCGAGAAAAGCTGATCAGACTTCAAACAATTCAATAAACATGCCTCATTCGATTAAAACCAAACAGTATAATCATCCCAAGTCATTACAATCAAATCCCTAACACAAGGAACTAGGGTTCTTCATACCCAAGTGAGAGAAGGGTTCTACTCCATAGAGAGAGAGGAGAAAACAGTAATCGGAGTAGTCATACTCATAATGATGAGGAAAATCTGCTCCGGGATGATGATTTCCACTTCTATGACGATCTCCAAGCTCGATTCGATGAAACCCAGCTCCAAGATAGCTTCTAGGATGTGTTCTTCGTACTTTCTCTCTCTAGGGCTCTGTTTTTGCTCTCAAAATCCGATTCTCTCACTTTTGGATCGAAATTGGCTGAAAAACCAGAATTTCCCGACTCACACGGGCAGGCCACACGGCCGTGTGGCTCACCCATTTGGCCGTGTGAGTCGAAACCCAGCGTATCAATTAGTTCGATCTTCAGGCTTCCCACACGGCCAGGGTCGCACGGCCGTGTGGATTTCCTGGGATGCCCGTGTTTGCTCTCGGCGAAAGTCACACGGCCACAATTGCAATTTGCACGGCCGTGTGATACCCAGGACTGCCCGTGTGGCTTCCTTAGAACCTCGCCATGCGTCCGATCTTCGTCCAATCGACCTCAAACTCGCTCCCAAGCCTCCATTCACGTACTAGGACCTGAAATATCACAACCAAGCACAACCTATCGTGAAATCGGCCTAAAACACGAGAATCAATACCTCAAACGGTGTAAGAACAGGGGTCAAAACATGTGTAAATAACGGTCTATCAGTATTCGCCATACGATAGAAACAACGCTTTCTTATTGGGGGCACTGATTTGCTTTTTGACCTCAACCAAGACATTTGAACCATTGGATGCTTCCAGCTGATCCTTTAGGTCGGGCTTGAATGACAGGGGTAGTGTTCCTCTGTACAACCTTAGATCATTCTTGCTTGGTAATTTGGGACTCATTTTTTGAAGTAATCTCGGACGCAGGCTTTTAAGGGGAATACATTCTTCCATAGTTGACTTTCAGCTGCCTCTCCACCTTCATTTCTAGATGAACCACTTCCTCCAACCCCCCAAACTGACAAAGCTTGACTTCCTGCCTGATTTCTCGGTTGAGCCCATGTAGAAATTGGGCAATTGTTGCTTCCTTGTCTTACCTCACATCTTCCCTCATCAAGAGCAATTCAAGCTCTTTCAAGTATTCATCAATAGAGTGGGCTCCTTGTCGAATTCCTTACAAGGAATAATGAAGTTCTCTTTGATAAAAGGAGACACGAATCAATCACGCATTAGGCCTCTCAATTCTTCCCAAGTAGAGATGAAAGGTTGTAGATTTCTTCTTCGTCGAAGATGGACTTTTTGATTATCTGGGTAACGATTTCACTAAAAGAACAAAACCATTTTACTCTCCCAATCAAGGTAAGCTGAAGCACTATTGGTCCTTTGAAACGAAGTGATTACCAGTTTGATTCCTTGAATCGGATCAACGTCATAGCCTTCTATTTCTAGTGGTCTTTCACCATAATCGTGGTAATAATCTATGTAATCATGACGAGCTCGATCTGCTCTAAGCCCTCTCGATTCACAGCTCCAGTCTGAGCTGCAAAAGCTACTAGATTTTCTGGTTGATTACCCACTGGTTGCGTCTCCAACCTAGTGATTAGGGTATCCAGGTGCTTGATGGTTTCAATGAGCTGGACTTTGGTAGCGTCCTGCTGGGTTTGAAGCAAAGCTCCCATCTAAGCCATCTGTGCTATAAGCTTTTCATTGCTTCTACAAGGTTTGGCTCCATGGTTTGCTCTTCGAATGTGATTTCTTCTTATGACTAAGAATCTTCCTTTGCAACGCGGTTTGCTATGGGGTCTTTGGATCTCGTACGAGAAGAAATAAGTCCTCTCGCCACTTTGTTGAACCAGAGCTCTTACACCACTTGATACGAGCACGAAACTCGTACTCGTAGTTATCAAAGTCGCACAAAAAAGAACAAAGATCAGAGTTAGGGTGTAACACCCTAAAACACTCACTTTTACATAAAATACGTAAAACTCATAAAAATATTTTCGTGCCCGATTAAAAACTTTACAAATCAAGTACAAAAGGGAAAACAATTTGACACTAGATTTCATGTTGAAACATGCTCAGTCCTCCGCGCACCTCGTGAATCAAAATCTGAAGCTTGAAACCACTACTTCTACTTTTACCACTTTTTGCAACTGCTCTGGATCTAGGGAAAAATGTTTGATGAAGGATGAGTCATCGCTCAATGAGTAAATTCTAAACCTAAATGAAAAATAATAGATAAGTAGTATTTTGCATGGCACCCTTTTGTAACGTACATATAATTTACTTCTAGATCTTGTTGCTTATGGTTTCAATTTATAACATTTAATGTTCAGTTATGATTTCATGATACTCTATGGTTGAACAATCTCTGGGTTTTCATAACACCTCTCTACCACTATCCAGTAACACTCACATTCCAGGGTGATAGAACACCTTATTTTTCCATTTAGTATCAGTCACATCATTATATCATATCTCGGTGCTAAGACACGATCATCCCATTCACATCCATTTATCTCAATCAACATCACATGGAACACACAACACGATGGTAAGCATCATCAGTTCACACATATTCAGTCATGCCCACAAATAGTTCAGCACATCATTCACATTCCCATGATCAATCTTGCACACATACACACACATACCCATACGCATAGTTGGTTAGGTTCATTATATGCATTTTCATTACTTTGCCACGTCGTGTACTCCCTCGGGTATCTCGCAGCTTTTGGTATCAAGTGTCGGGCCGGTCGAACCTTATATCATTTCGCAATTTTTGGCACCATGTGCCGGACCAGTCGGACCCTATATTACTTCGCAGTTTTTGGCATCATGTGTCTGGCTGGTCAGATCTTATATCATTTCGCAGCTTTTGGTACCATGTGCCGAGCCAGTCGAACCCTATATCACTTCGCAGCTTTTGGCATCAAGTGTCGTGCCTGTCAAACCCTCATATTATAGAGTACACAATGGGCATATTTAAGTTTAATTCAGGTGATACGACAATTCTTTAGTTAGTCACATAAAAAATATCCAGCAGTATCATCAATCATTTAACGCATATCCATTCACGTAATCATAGCATTCACATAGTCACATTCACCATTTTATATAAGCACATCATCGCCTTATAGGATTCCCAGCATCACATTTCTGCCTTACAGGCTTTCTAGTATCACACGACAGCCAATTAGGGTGTCTCAGTATCATCACATTTCCGCTTTACAGGCCTTCTAGTATCACAGTATTGCCAATTAGGATCTTCCAGTATCATCATATAGCCATTCAGGCTATACATTATCCCTTCATCGCCTAATAGGCTTTCCAGTACAGTAACATCGCCTTTTAGGCCATATCACATCACATACACATTACATTTCTCATTCACAGTCATCATTTATCACATTTCATACATATTGTCACATAGTCATACACAAATCACTTTTACTTATCACTCATTACATATCATTTCCTCATATCAATACTCTTACGCCCATTGGCATCATTACTTTATCACGTTATTATCTTTAAGCCCTTAGCCTTTACCATTTTACCACATCAATATCATACTTTAACATAAACATCTGATCAATGGCCTCTCTAGTGGACATTGACATTCATCAGACAATCATCATCACATTCATCACCTTATCATCATCACATTCATAACATAATTATCATATCATAGGCATTTAATTCATATCACATTCAATTGATATTTATGCTTTATACTAGGGCCGCTTCATGACCCGAATACCTCATGTTGTGTCATATACTTGAGTCGCTTCATGACTTAAATACTGCATTTGAATTGGTATAAATTTAGGGTTAGAATCTACTCACCATTTCAGTCGTTACTTGGCAATTCCCTTGCCCTTTGAAGACTCCCCGGCATATTCCATTCCTTTGTTACCCTAGAAACAGTTTCGTACACTCCATGTCCGTTCGGGTTTCCCTCATGAACTGGTGATCCAAACCACGATATGTACGGTCAGATCTAAGAGCTTCATTTCCAGAGTTTCATTTTTACTAAAACTAAATTCAGACATACAACATTTACCGATCAAGCTTTTGATATGTTACTGGGTGATAAGAGCATCGACGGACACTCGAGAAGTAAGCCATTAACAATGAGAAACTACGATGAACAACCATGCACAAAAACAATACATACTCGGAAAAAATATTAACACTGAGAAACTATGATGAACAAACCACACACATAAACAGTCAAATGTGAATAATCAATTAACATCAGACCATGAGATATCCAGATTGCCCCAGTCACTTTCACACACACCCAACGCCTTCCACACTGCCTTGGACGCGTCAACGATGTCGTTAGGACATGGAGGCTGATAGTCATGATCAGAATCACACCCCATGGTAGAGTCACATTCATCAACCACCATGGCCCTAACAGTCTTACCATTCCCATGAATGTTGATGAAGTTGAGACACCTTGATTTCTTGTTGAACCATCCCGTGGAGAGTGCAACTATAGGTTTGTTGTCGGAATGATAGTGGTTGTCACACGCAGATGCACCTCCGCCACTGCCTCCTGCCTGGAAGCTGTTCCACATTAGAGTCGCCTTTGTGCTGGTGGTGACCAGAGGGGAACACTTGTAAGTGGTTTAGTGCTTTGTAAGGATCGTTGTTGGTGAATCTGGTGAAAGAGGGGGATGAAAGGAAGAAGAAAGAGTCTGAGAGGGAAAAGAGTCTCTTGTTTTATTGATATTGAACTAAAAGAGTAAAGTAGCTACAGCTCAACAGATTGGTCAAAAGTTAACCAATTACAGATCAGTCTTTCCCTTTTATACATTGGCCCCCCTTATACACGTCATCAATGCCAGCTGGCTGGGTTGTTTCAAAACCCTCTCCCTTCAAACACAGCTTGTCCTCAAGCTGAATTCTAAGAAGGAAAAGAGGGAATCTGAGCTTGAAAAGAGAGCAGATCCTCCTAAGTAGCATCTTCAGGAGCCTGATGCGTTCACTGCACGATAACCTGTGTAACAACTCAGTTGTTGTGGTTGACAAACCATCTTGCTAAGATGCATGTAGGAGCAAGCTTTAGGGTACCATTCTCATCTTCCTTAGGAAGTTGGAGAGTAGCAGGGGGGACAATAGAGCGACTCAGCTTCAGTTGCGAGACATGGAAGACAGGATGTACCTTGGAAGTTGCAGGTAAAGCCAGCTTGTAAGCTACGCTGCCCACCTTGGCAAGGACTTTATAAGGGCCAAAATATCGAGCATTCAGCTTGTTCCCTTGTCTTCCCACTACTGATCCTTGCCTATAAGGTTGAAGACGAAGATAAACCCAATCATTCACCTGCAAAACCCTTTGAGAACGCCTATGGTCTGCATATTGCTTCTGGAGGTTTTGAGCCTTAGTGATGTTATTGGTCAGGAATTGTACTAGCTGATGTTGACACTTCATGTCTCCTCGACAGCACCCACTGTTGTAGTAACATCATGACTCAAGCCAAAGAACGTAGGTGGAAACCCATGCAAAGCTTCAAAAGGCGACATTTGCAGATTAAGATGAAAGTGAGTGTTGTAGCACCACTCAGCTAGTGTAAGCCACTTTTCCCAATCCCGAGGATGAAGGAATGTCATACACCTAAGTTAGTCCTCCACGCAGTGATTGACTCTCTCTATTTGTCCATCACTTTGTGGATGGTAAGCAGTAGAGTAGTGGATATCTGTCTGCTGTAACCAGAAGAACTCTCACAAAAACTGCTAGTGAAAGTGGAGTCTCTGTCACACACGATGGTGGAGGGCATACCATGGTGCTTAAACACTCCATCGAAGAATACCCGAGCAACTTTAGGAGCTGTGTAGGGGTGTTGGAGGCCAAAGAAATGAGCATTCTTGGTGAACCTATCGACCACCACCATCAACACTTGTTTTCATTGGGAATTTGGCAGCCCCTCTACAAAATCCATACTCACGTCTTGCCAGGCTTGTTTTGGAATAGGAAGTGCCTGTAGAAGACATGGGGAAGCAACCGTCTCATCCTTACAACGCTGGCAGATCTCACACTCAGATACCCATTTGACAAAAACAGCCTTCATTCCACACCAATAGAAATAGGATTTGAGGCGTTGATAAGTGCCTTGGGCACCTGAATGACCACCTACTGGAGATGAATGGAACATATGCAGCAACTTCGTGCGCAAGAACCCTGAAGAGCCAACCACAATCACACTACTATACCTCAGAATCCTAGCTGAGAATGACCAAAGCGAAGGACCTTGATTATTGATAGCAGTAGCTACAATAAGATCAGCCACCTCTGAATTATTTTCATATGTGTTTTCAATCTCCACCAACCACTCGGGAAGAACAGAAGTCAGGGCATTGCAACTTGCAGCCAAGGAATCATCATCAAATACTCGAGACAACGCATCAGCAGCTCCATTATACTTCCCTTTTATGCATTTAATCTGGTAGTCTAATCCCATGAGTTTAACGAGGCCTTTCTTTTCTATTGCTGTGTGTGCTTTCTGTCCAAGAAAGAACTTGAGGATTTCGTGATCTGTTACTATTATAAACTGTCGAGTGTCGACCCTCAAGGTAATGCCTCCAGTGATCAACCGCCATTAATACAACCAGATATTCTTTTTCATATGTACTTAGCCCTTGATTCTTGAGACCCAATGCTTTACTGAAATAGGCCAGTGGACGCGCCCCTTGTGATAAGAATACTTCCACACTAGTGCCACAAGCATATGTTTCCAAGGTAAAAAGAATGCTGAAATCAGGTAAGGTTAGAACTGGGGCCTTAGACATTGCCAATTTTAAAGCCACAAAAGCTGCTTCTGCATCAGGAGACCAGTTGAACCCATTTTTCTTCAATAGCTCGGTTAATGGTCTACTGATTCTACCATAATCTCGCACAAACTTGCGTTAACCTGTTAACCCAAGGAATCCACGTAACCCCTTAACTGAATTAGGTCTGGGCCAGTCCATCATCGCAGCTACCTTGCGTTGATCTGTTGATACCCCCTGTGCACTAATAATATGCCCCAAGTACTCATTTTATATCGAAACTCTGCACAGTTTGAGCCGAGGGATCGCATTTCGAATCCTCATCAATATTACGGTGGGATTTGACAAATTTTATCAAGGGCATAATGGTCACTTTGACTATCGGAAAAGCGGGGTGTAACATTCCTCCACCCTTATAAAAATTTCGTCTCCGAAATTTGCTCGGAACTCATCCTTCCTTTCACAACCTACTTATACTTCCTTCCTACGTTCATTTATTCTTATCATAACAACTTCGTTGGTTACCTTTGATCATATAGGTTTCCTTGGCTTGTAGCACTCGTGAAACCTTGAGTGACTCACTGCCCTTTTTATTTCACCACTTGACCCAAAAGTGATGAAATAAAATGCCGATTTGGTTTGCCATGATGATCCAATTCACCTAGTAGTTGTTGTTGAACCTAAATCCAAAATTAAGATATCACATTTCCCCTTCGTTAAGAAAAATTTCGACCTCAAAATTTATTAGTTGTGATGACTCAAATTCTCACCTGAGGTAATCCTTCTACTACAAGGACTTATCTTTCCTTTACTTTCACAATCCCTTTATCGATGCTTGGTTCTAGCTTGATACCCTAATCTAGGTCGGTAGCTCCTCGCCATTCCTCCTCGGAGATTTTACTTACTTTCCCTGACATTATTAGAACTCTCCTTGAACGTTCTACTTTCTTATCGTTCCTCGCCTGGCTTGATGAATTTTCTTAGACAAGTTTGAGGATTCTAACTCTTAACCTGTCCTGGTCCGGCGTTGCTCCTTGTGTCTCTTGTATTTTGGACCTCCTGTGGCTACCGTAAGTTGTAGGGTCTCTCGAATCCCTCCTCGTTCCTCGGCTTAGTTGGCGCCACCTCTAGTCTTGCTTGTTTATACCTGGCTACCCACACAATGAGGTGCCCCTCAACTTGAGTCTTGACTACCACGAAACGTATCACTATCGATTGACTTATCTAAAATTGGGTAATGGAGACCGCAGAACTCGTCACCATCCAGCCCCATGCCTAACTCACTACCGCTGAACACATCGTCATCCGGTAGGGATCCCTCACATACCTTATACTTGATCTTGCACTTTATTAGTTACATAGTGCGCTTGCTCTTACCTCATTCTTTACATCATTCATCTTGATAATTGACTCCTTCCTTTCAATGACTTCCCGTCGATCTAGTTTCCCAGGTCCACGATTCCTCTTCTTAGGGATGTACTGTATCCGTAAGGGATTCTTCCTTTGTTGTGTGTACACACACGTGTCTCCTCCTAGCCTTGACGCATTGTAATGACTCCAAGCCTCACTTGTGATAATCTTTTTAAAAGGAAATGTACCTTCTTAATTTATCCTTTGCTTTGCTTAAGCGCCCCCTAGCATTGCTTAAAATCTAGCTTCCACTACTCCTTGAGTTATAGCCCTACGCTCGATTCTTGCAAACTCGACGAACCTTCCTTGCATCCTCTCCTCTAGATTATGGCCACCATTGTCCACGACTCCTTGGCTACTGCCTTTCGACGTATTAGATACTTAGCGTCTTTCTGAACCTTATACCGATCAACTCGCATCTCCGTAGAGTATGAGATGCTTTGGACTACATCTTCTTGCTCATGAAAAAGAGTTCACTAAACATCCTCTTAGGAATCTGCTCCTCTCCTTCCCAAGACGTATGACAGTCTCGCGGGGCCTCCTAGAGTTATTTCCTTATCATTATTAGAGTATACTGGAGATTCTAAAAATCATCAAAATAAACCCTGACTCGTTTGCCCAAACCTTTAACTCGACACTGCTTTTTTTCCTTTCCTTTAAAAACAGAAGCCTTGAAAAACTCATATCGTCACTCCAGTATTGCTTGGAGACCAAGGAACAGATGAGTGCCGGCTCTGATACCAAAATTTAAAACGCTAACCTGACCGGGTACTACTTTTACCAAAATACCCTTTATAAACCGCGAAACAAAATAAGAACAGCAAAACATTTGAAAAAAATAGCGGGAACTTTTCATAAATAACTTTAACAAATACTGAGAATAAACTGTAACTTCTTAAAATAAAGCCCTAACACTTGGGCGAAACTCAATCATAAAATCTTAATCTGAATCTCGAGTCTGTGCTCATAATCATAAAAATGAAATAACTAAAAAGTTTCTAATGCTGCCGCTTATTGAAAACCTTTACTAGGCATCCTCTGTGACGTGCAAATCGTCCTCCTCTAGCTGGCTTGCCTTGAACTGTTCTCTCAATCTCGCTGCTTTCTAACTGCTCCTCTAACTAGCTACTATCGAGCTGGTTCTCGCTCATTCTTTTACTAAGGCCTAGTGGGTGAGATGGGGTCAGTCTACGTCTTTACGTTTTAAACTTTCTAATAATTTGCACTCTTCTTAAAGCACTTACTTAAATTGGTGGAAGTTGTTTGTACTTCCACTCTTAAAAACTCTTAACTTTTAAAACTGTACGGGAGCTAAATTTACTCTCCCTTCTTAAAGCTCAAATCTTGGCTTAAACTTTTGACTGACAGTGGGATCCTTCACTAGCTAGTTCGGTTGCCCAAG